GAAATTATTTACATATGATTCACATTACATTTGTCCCATGAAAAGTACGACAAATTTGTAGTTGTGGTCGTCGGTGAAGTTGTACTTTTTCTCTTAATGATGTATTTTAATAGTTATTATAAGATTAAGTATTAAGACTTGTTTAATTTCAAGCAAAAACAAAGCGATTCTCAATTCAAGAGTTTATCAGAGCGAATGGCATTGAGACCATTTGGTTAAGGCTACTTTAAAGCACTGATATTATGATTTCCAAGTATTAAGACTTGTTTATTTTTCAGCAAAAACAAAGCGAATCTGAATCCTAGAGTTTATCAGAGCGAATGAACGAAGCTTTACAAGAAAATGAAACGTTAAAACAAGCGGCGGACAGGATAGATAACCTTCAAAGAAAAAATGACGACAGGAAGACGAAAACAAAGGCTAAAGTACAAGCATTGAGGTGGGTAACATTGTTTTGAGTTGTAGTTGTGTTAAATATAGAACTAAAGATGGCTTAGCAGGGCTCGAAATAGCGGCCTGCCAATGGAAAAATGATTGGCCAAATTTCAAGTTTGCCAGGCGAAAACAAGGAAGCACTGCCAAATAAATAATAAAATAGCATGCAAAATTTCCTCGAATGACCTCCAATTACCATTTTACTTTACTATGGCAGGCTAAATAAAAAATGTTTCTATTTCGAGCCCTGCTTAGCTGTAGACGTACACTCCTCTGACACTTTCCTCTCACCTTTGGTTTGATTCGTGTACTCGACATCACCTGTGAGATGAGTTTGTTCGGTCTCTCCGTTGATTCGAGTGTTCTTCTATAGGTTCTCTAGTTTCCTCGCTCCATATATAAAATCTAAAATGCTAAGTTCCACTTGATCTTAAGTTAGCCGTGCCCTGACTTGAGAGACTTCTCTCCTGGTTCTACAGGTTTCTTTCTTTTCTCCTCAAAACCCAACGCACTAAATACTCCAGTTTCGAATTATCCATTGTACAGGGTTAGACTCGATTTCGTATGGAATTATTTTGAATATTCATGTGTTCCAGTCAAGGTCCGTGGAATTTTAAGGTGTTGTGATGTACAGGTTGTGCATTCTTTACTTTACCGTTGGTATTTCTCGATATTTGTTCACAATAATGAGGCTAACCCTGTATAATTGAGTCAGTAATCAATGAACACAGCGTTACTTTACGCGAACGGCCTATTCCAATCGATGTAAAAGCAACTCGCTCGCTAATAATTTCTCCCTTGCAAACTCGGATTCAAATATTGCACTTCCGGTTACGACGACTTTCCGGGTTTCCAACGGAAACAAATAGCAAGCGAGACTTGAAGCAAGTCTTCAACAACGCGACTTGGTGTTAATAACTGATGAATTTATGTTTTTTTGTTCTTTTTCTCAAAAGAAAGCAGTTTGCACGCGACAAGAGAAACCTAGACGAGAAGGTGATGTCACTTGAGAACGCGCTGGGACTGGTTCGACAACGAGCTCTCAAAGAGGAGGAATGCGAAGGAGAGGCTAATGCGAACTCAAAACACTGCAGAAAGAAAAACGGCAATTATTAACCAAATAAGTCAGTGGTAAATATTCAAGATATTATATAGTATTATTTGGGATACCTGTGTTTTTTGAATATTATTAGGGTTGGGAAACCTGTGTAATGAGAGGAACATGTTTTGCTGAAAACTGATCAAAARTAAGTAAAAAGCTCTATCTAGAATGCCCTTGTATTGTAAAACTTTGACTTGTGATACCTGTGTGTGGTTGAATAGTTTTGCTGCGTTCCCAAGCTGTTATTTTGATTGTTCTTTTAGTTTAATGGACAGTGAAGAGGTTATCCGCGAGTACCAGCGCACAAGCCGTGAAAGCGAAGCTCGCTTGGCCATGTTGAACAAAG